AATAATAATGGGAAATTCCCAATACTGATAACAGAAAATAATAACAAGAAATATAATAATAAAATATATAATAATAATGTCATAATATAATCATAAAAATAATAATAATAGGAAATAATAATAGCAAATAATAATAAATTCCCAATATTGATAACAGAAAATAATAACAAGAAATAGAATAATAAAATATATAATAATGTCATAATATAATAATAAAATAATAATAGGAAATAATAGCAAATATAATAATAAAATATATGATAATGTCATAATATAATCATAAATATAATAATAATAAATTCCCAATAATGATAACAGAAAATAATAACAAGAAATATAATAATAAAATATATAATAATAATGTCATAATATAATAATAAGAGGGTGACCAATCCATTCCACACTTTGCAATTCCCAATAATGACAACAGAAAATAATAACAAGAAATATAATAATAATGTCATAATATAATTCCTAAAAATAATAAAAATAATAATAATAGGAAATAATAATAGCAAATATAATAATGGTAATAATGTAATAATAAGAGGGTGTTCAATCCAGTCCGCGCTTTGCAATTCCCAATAACGACAACAGAAAATAAGAAGAAGAAATATAATAATAAAATATATAATAATGTCATAATATAATCATAAAAATAATAATAGGAAATAATATCAAATATAATAATAATAATAATAATAATAATAATAATAATAATAATAACAGTAATAATGTAATAATAAGATGATGATGATGATGTAATTCTGTATTCCTGTATGGCAGAAGGGGGCTGGACTGGATGCCCTTTGGGGGTCCCTTCCATGAGTCCCATAATAATAATAATAATAATAATAAACCTGGCTCTTTGAGCAAGCGTTTGGCTAATCAGCGCAATCAAACATAGGACGACGGTAAATTGAACATAGGAATGGCACAAGGATTATGAGATTGGATTTTGCTTTGTGATCGAGGCATTATGAATGATTAATTGTGTATTTTGTTATTGTGTATGATGTGTTTTAATTGTTATTGTTGTGTTAATTTACATTGTGTAAACCGCATTGAGTCGTCTAATTAGGTTGAGAAACGCGGTATAGAAATAAAGCAAATAAATAAATAAATAAATAAATAATAAAGTAATTCTGTATTCCTTGATGGCAGAATGGGACTGTACTGGATGCCCTTTTAATAATAATAATAATAATAATAATAATAATGATAATAATCATAATAATAGATAATAATACACAACATAATAATAATAATAATAATAATAATAATAATAATAATAATAATAATAATATAGTAATTCTGTCTTCCTTTATGGCAGAAGGGGGCTGGACTGGATGTCCTTTGGGGGTCTCTTCCATGCGTCTCAATAATAATAATAATAATAATAATAATAATAATAATAATAATAATAAAAGATGATGGTGATGATGCTGATAATAACAACAACAACAACAACAACAATAGTATAGTAATTCTGTATTTCTCTATGGCATAAGGGGGCTGGACTGGATGCCCTTTGGGGGTCCCTTCCATGCCTAGGATTCTAGCCAAGGGTCTTTGGGGAGGGATGCAGAAGTGGGCAAGGCGTTCCCACATGCGTGGCAGACAGGGGCGGCTCAACCCTTACGCAAAGTAAGCAGTTGCGGTAGAGTTGATTTTGCCCAGGGGTGCAATTGGGGGGAAATAAACCTTGATCATAGAGCATTCCGAACTCCACCAATGATGGAATTGAACTGAATATGGCACACCGAACTCCCACAACCTACGGAAAATAGGTATCAGTGAATGGTTGGGGGCTCTTGGGGGAAAATAGAGCTTGACATATGCGAGTTGTAGTTACTGGGATGTATAGTTCACCAACAATCAGAGAGCATTCTGAACTCCACCAATGATGGAATTGAACCAAATAGGGCACACTGAACTCCCATGACGAACAGAAAATAGATATCAGTGAATGGTTGGGGGCTCTTGGGGGAAAATAGACCTTGACGTATGCGAGTTGTAGTTACTGGGATGTATAGTTCACCAACAATCAAAGAGCATTCTGAACTCCACCAATGATGGAATTGAACCAAATATGGCACACAGAACTCCCACGACGAACAGAAAATATATATCAGTGATTGGTTGGGTTGGGGGGGGGGCAAAATACTGTTTGCTTACCGTTGAACATTACCGAGGTCCGCCTCTGGTGGCAGACACGTCTCCTGCGTGGTTATGCTCTGGCCCCCCTTCTTCTTCTTCTCCTCCTCCTCTTCTTCCTTCCCTTCTTCCTCCCATTGAGCTCAAGGTGGTGCTGCTGAGCAACCAGCCAGAAGAGGAAAGGAAGGAAAGGCAGAAGGAGAAAAGGAAGAAGGCGGAGGAGAAGAAGAAGCAGGTGAGGATGGATCTCCATCATCTATGGGTTGGAGATATATAGGGTGGGTCTCTATGGGAGATCTAGGAGGGAACAGAAGGGGGATATACATTCAGATCTATTTTGTTTTTCCTCTAGGAAGAGATCAGGAAGGCATTGTTTCCTTTCGGGGAAGAGCATCAATTAGCACAATATACTCGTAGCATATATACATATACATATACACACACACACACACACACACATATATATATATATGTGTGTGTGTGTGTGTGCAATATAGGATAGTACGACATTCCTTATATTACTATATTTTATGCTATTTTATGCTAAGCACTATTGCATTGCAATGTTATTATTTCTGTATATTATTCTATTGTGTGTGTATGGACATATATCTTTTATATATATATATATAACGTATATGTCCATACACACACAATAGAATAATATACAGAAATAATAACATTGCAATGCAATAGTGCTTCGCATAAAATATAGTATTATTAAGAATATTGTACTATCCTATATTGCATATACTATAACATGATATAGTACCATATATTATGTAATACTAATAGGATAACATGCTGGTTGTGTATTATATAGATTGAAAATTATATATGTGTGTGTGTGCGTGAATAACATATATATAGATATATATATATACACATATATAAATATATATAGAATCTCATATATATGTATTAGAATAACATAATATATATATATACACACACACATATATATAATATTTATAGAATCTCATATATATATTACAATAACATACATATATACACACATACATAAATATATATAGAATCTCAATTATATATATATATTAGAATAATGTAATATATATATATACACACACATATATAAATATATATATATATATATAGAATCTCATATATATTAGAATAACATACATATATACACACATATATATAAATATATAGAATCTCATATATATATTAGAATAACATACATATATATACACATATAAGTATATAGAATCTCATATATATATTAGAATAACATACATATATATACACATATAAGTATATAGAATCTCATATATATATATTAGAATAACCTACATATATACACACATATATAAATATATAGCATCATATATATATATTAGAATAACATACGTATATATACACATATATAAATATATATAGAATCTCAATTATATATATGAATAATGTAATATACACACACATATATAAATATATACAGAATCTCATATATATATTAGAATAACATACATATATATACACACATATATAAATATATATATATAGAATCTCATATATAAGAATAACACATATATACACACACATATAAATATATATAGAATCTCAATTATATATATATTAGAATAACGTAATATATATATATATACACATACGTATATAAATATATATAATCTTATATATATATATATAAATAACATATGTATATGTATATATATACACATACATATATAAATATATATAATATTATATATATATATATATATATGAATAACATATATATATATATATATATATATATATATATACACATATACACACACAATATCATATATCACAATGTAAAGTATATAATACTATGGTAATTGCACATTATATATTGCATGTCATATTACTAATAATACCGTCTGCTGGTATAGTACCATGCAGTAATATATAATAATAATATTGTGCTATGCTAATAATATTATATATATATATATATACACATGCTAATATTATAATGTAAGACAATAAAATACTAATATAATATATATACATATAATAATATTATAATGTAATGCAATATAATACTAATAACATAATATGATAATAAATAATAACACTGTACAATATGGTAATACATAATATTGTGCTATGCTAATAATATATTATATATCCGTATAATATTATAATGTAATACAATGTAATATTAATAATAGAACAATATACAATAATATTGCGCTATGCTAATATAATTTATTATATATATATAATATTATTTTACAATATAGTAATATATAATATTGTGCTATGCTAATAATATATTATATATACGTATAATATTATAATGTAATACAATATAATACTAATAATATAATAGCATATAATAATATTATACAATATAGTAATACATAATAATACTGTGCTATGCTAATAATATATTTATACATATAATAATATTATAATGTATTACAATATACTAATAATTCAATATAATAACATATAATAGTATTGTACAGTATAGTAATATATAATAATAGAGTTTCCCAGGACAAGATAATTAGCATTGCCTAGAACCTGGGCATTGGCGTCATCTAGATTCAAAAGGCTAAAGTTTCGCAGGAGCAGATCATTGGCATCGCCTAGAAACAGAGCGATGGTATCATCTAGAATCAAAAGGCTAAAGTTTCCCAGGACAAGATCATTGGCATCGCCTAGAACCAGAGCAATGGCATCATCTAGAATCAGAAGGCTAAAGTTTCCCAGGACAAGATAGTTAGCATTACCTAGAACCTGTGCATTGGCATCATCTAGAATCAGAGGGTTAGAGTTTCCCAGGACAAGATAATTAGCATCGCCTAGAACCTGGGCATTGGCGTCATCTAGAATCAGAAGGCTAAAGTTTCCCAGATCAAGATAATTAGCATTGCCTAGAACCTGGGCATTGGCATCATCTAGAATCAGGGGGTTAGAGTTTCCCAGGACGATAATTAGCATTGCCTAGAACCAGAGTGATGGCATCATCTAGAATCAGAAGGTTCGAGTTTCCCAGGACAAGATAATTAGCATTGCCTAGAACCAGAGCGATGGCATCATCTAGAATCAGGAGGTTAGAGTTTCCCAGGACAAGATAGTTAGCATTACCTAGAACCTGTGCATTGGCATCATCTAGAATCAGAAGGTTAGAGTTTCCCAGGACAAGATAATTAGCATTGCCTAGAACCTGGGCATTGGCGTCATCTAGAATCAGAAGGTTTGAGTTTCCCAGGAAAAGATAATTAGCATTGCCTAGAAACAGAGCGATGGCATCATCTAGAATCAGAAGGTTCGAGTTTCCCAGGACAAGATAATTAGCATGGCCTAGAACCTGGGCATTGGCGTCATCTAGAATCAGAAGGCTAAAGTTTCCCAGATCAAGATAATTAGCCTTGCCTAGAACCTGGGCATTGGCATCATCTAGAATCAGAGGGTTAGAGTTTCCCAGGACAAGATAATTAGCATTGCCTAGAACCAGAGCGATGGCATCATCTAGAATCAGAAGGTTCGAGTTTCCCAGGACAAGATAATTAGCATTACCTGGGCATTGGCGTCATCTGGAATCAGGTTAGATTTTCCCAGGAACAGATAATTGACATTGTCTCGAACAAGAGGGCTAGAATGGTCCAAAAGGTTGACATTATCTAGATCAAGGACTAGAGAGGTTAGAAATGCCCAGAAGAGCCATTCGTTTGGCATTATCTACAACAAAGGGCTTGAATGGTCCAGAACCAGAGAATTGGCATACTCTAGAACCATAGGGTTAGAATTGCCCCTCTGGTGTTTCCCAGAACTAGAGAGTTGGAACCATCTAGAAGCAGAGGTTAGAATTGCCTTGAATGAGAGGGTGGCATTGTCTAGAACGAGAGGCTTAGATATGCCTAGAACCAAGGGATTGCTAGAGGGTTGCTATTGTTTAGATCCAGAGGGTGTCATTGCCCAGTAATAAAGGAATAGGTTGGCTTAGAAGCAGAGCATTGGCATTGCCCAGGAGGACCAGAGGGTTGGCGTCATCTAGAACCAGAGGGTTGGAGTGGTCTGGAACCACAGAACCATGAGTGTCAACCGCATTCTCTTCCTCAAAAGGTCCGCCGATGCCGCGTCCCAGCTGCGAGATGGATGACGTGTTGCCCCTCACCGCCTTCTGCCCGGCGACAGTGGAGAACGCCACCGCGTGAGGTCCAAGGAGCGGGCGGTGGTGGTGCCGGCCACTCACCTTTCAAGATGGCCGCGATGCTGCCCTGGCGCCGGAGCAAGTTCGTCCTAGTGGAAGAGCGCAACGGTGTTGCCAACGTTGGGTGCAAGGTGAAGAGCCTGGGCCCGGTGCTGAGCTACGGCTCGTTGCTCTCGAACCTGCTGCGCTCCTGCCCGGACCTGTGGCCGGAGTGTCCTTCGTGGCCGCGCTTTGGTGGCCGCCGCCAGAAGGCGGAGCTGAACCCGGAGGACCCATCCTGCTCGGCCTGGTACCTGGGCAACGCCGTCACTTTGCAGGCCAAGGGCGAGGGCTGCACCGAGGAGGCCGTGGACAAGATCTGGGCCAAGAGCGAACGCGGTGCCCGCGGCACCAAGATGACACTCAGCGCGGGGCGACACGGCTTGCGCATGAGCCCTGTCGCGGCCGAGAAGGAGCCCGCACGCCACCGCCGACTTAGCCATGCTTACCTTTTGCCGCGCATCACCTATTGTGCCCCCGACCGGCGCCGTCCCAGAATCCTCACCTGGGTCTACCGCCACCAGGTCAAGAACAAAGCGGTGGTGCTGCGGTGCCACGCCGCGCTGCTCTCCCGGCCGGAGAAGGCCCACGGCTTGGCTCTGCACGTGGCCCAGGCTTCTTGCGCCGCCCTCGACGAGTTCAAGCGGCTCAAGCGGCAAAGCGACGCCCGGCAGCTCCACCGGCAGTTGTTAGGCGATGCCGGCGTGCCCTCGGTGCCGTTACGGAAGCTGCTCAACTGCAAGTGCCCGTACCGCGCAGCGCCGGAGAAAACCCGCAACGGGCCTCGTCTCAGCGCTATCAAAGAAGAGGAAGAAAAGGACGAGGAGGAAGAATACAGAAGCACAGCTGTCGGCGGCATCTTCCGCCTCGAACGGGCCGAAGAGCGGCCCGAGGTGGCGGCCTTGGCACAGGAATTGCGCTTCTGTACCTTGCGAAGCCATTTGCACCGGCGAGCGGACACCCCTTGCTTGCCTTGGTGAGGAACCCAGAGCCATCCTCATTCCCCTTTGGTTATTATTCAAGACTGGAGTCGCGTTGGGAACGAATGTTGTGTCTACACAGAGCTCCTCTCATTGCTCATCACGGATTCATTCCCGTGTCCGAACTCCTTCCGAGTTTCGTGTTGTCTGATTTTATTGATTCCCACATCCAAAATTCTTCGGGTTTCATACCTTCCGAACAATAGGCACTGTCAGATTCGATCAATTTCTGTATCTGAACTTCTCTGAAAGCTCGTCTGATTTGTTCAATTTCCGTGTCTTCAGGTTTTGTGCCATACGAAAGCTCGTCGTTGTCGGATTCGATCAGTTCCCGTATCTGAACTTCTTCCGGGTTTATGCCATCTGAAAGCTTGGCGGAGTCTGATTTGATCGATTCCGACAGCTCATCATCGGATTCGATAGATTCCCCCGTTCGAACTTCTTTCGACTTCATGCCATCGAAAAGCTCATCGTCGTCGGATTCGATCGATTCCTGTATCTGAACTTTTTCCAACAGCTCATCATCGAATTCGATAGATTCTCCCGTCCGAACGTCTTCAGGTTTTGGGCCATCCGAAAGCTCATCATCGTCGGATTCGATCAGTTCCCGTATCTGAACTTTTTCCAGGTTTCTTGCTATCAGAAAGCCCAGGGGAGTCGGATTTGATCGATTCCGACAGCTCTCTGGACTTCATGCCATCGTCGTCGGATTCGATCAGTTCCTGTATCTGAACTTCTTCCGGGTTGCTTGCCATCTGAAAGATAATAAAATTTGATCAATTCCTGCATCCAAACTTCCTCGTCATTGTCGGATTCGATCAGTTCCCGTATCTGAACTTCTTCCGGGTTGCTTGCCATCTGAAAGATCATTGAATTTGATCAATTCCTGCATCCAAACTTCCTCGTCATCGTCGGATTCGATCGATTCCTGTATCTGAACTTCTTCTGGGTTTCTTGCCATTCTGAAAGATCATTGAATTTGATCAATTTCTGCATCCAAATTTCTTCAGGTTTTGTGCCACCCGAAAGCTTGTTGTCGTCGGATTCGATCAGTTCCTGTATCTGAATTTCTTCTGGGTTTCTTGCCATTCAGAAGCTCGTCGTCGTCAGATTCAATCGATTCCCGTATCTGAACTTTTTCCAGGTTTCTTGCCATCTGAAAGCTCGCTGGAGTCGATCAATTCTCACGTCCAAACTTCTTCAGGTTTTGTGCCATCTGAAAGCTCGTCGTCGTCATATTCTTTCGGTTCCCATATCTGAACTTTTTCCAGGTTTCTTGCCACCTGAAAGCTCGCCGTCATCAGATTCGATCGATTCCCGTTTCTCAACTTTTGGGTTTCTTGCCATCCAAACACTCATTTTTTGTCAGATTCGCTCAATGCGGCATCTGAACTTCTTCAGATTTTGTGCCACCCGAAAGCTCGTCGTTGGATTTGATCGATTCCCGTATCTGAAGTTATTCTGATTTTCTTGCCATCCGAAAGCTCGTCGTCGTCGGATTCGATCGATTTCCGTATCTGAACTTCTTCCAGGTTGCTTGCCATCTGAAAGATCATCGAATTTGATCAATTTCGACAGCTCATCAACGGATTCGATCGATTCCCCCGTCTGAACTTCTTTGGACTTCATGCCATCCAAGAGCTCATCGTTGTCGGAGTCACTCAATTCCCGTATCTGAACTTTTTCAGGTTTTGTGCCACTCGAAAGCTTGTCGTTGTCGGAGTCGCTCAATTTCCGTATCCTTCAGGTTTGTGCCACCCGAAAGCTCGTCGTCAGATTTGATCGACTTCCGTATCTGAACTTCTTCTGGGTTTCATGCCATCTGACAGCACATCGTCAGATTCGATCAATTCCCTTATCCAAACTTCTTCGGACTTCGTGCCACCCGAAAGCTCGTTTTTGTTGGATTCGCTCAATTCCCATATCTGAACTCCTTCGCTTTTTTTTTGCCACCCAAAAGCTCGTTGTCGGACTCTCTTGATTCCCGCGTCCAAACTCCTTCGGGTTTCCGTGCCACCCGACGCCAACCCGTGCCTACAACTTTGGGAAAACTAGCCATGTCTCAGTATCTGGAACAATTATGCTCAAACGTCCAGCTTTCTGGACGGCGCAAATATTTTTGGACAGTCCTCGCCCTCCTTCGAAAACCCGGCACAGCCATAAGACGTTTCTCCAAACCCAAGAACGGAGGTGGAAACCTCCAAATTATATATACAAATATAAATCTCATGTGTATATAACATATATGCATCTCTCTGTGTCTGTACATATTTATGCATAAATAAGGGGGTCAACGACATGCATTTTGGGTCTGCGGGGAACGGGATTCTCTCCATCTCCAGAAGTTGAGAGGTCTCATCGCCTAACTCCTTCTCTAATGTTGCAGTTTCTGGCTCCTCTGAAAATGGGGTTTATAGCATTCTCTCCATCCCCAGAGGTTGAGAGATCTCGTCGCCCAACTCCTTATCTAATGTTGCAGTTTCTGGCTCCTTTGACCTCTGAAAATGGGGTTAATAGCATTAGTTCCAACCCCAGAGGTTGAGAGGTCTTGTCGCCCAACTCCTTATCTAATGTTGCGGTTTCTGGCTCCTCTGACCTCTGAAAATGGAGTTTATAGCATTCTCTCCATCCCCAGAGGTTGAGAGGTCTTGTTGCCCATCTCCTTATCTAATGTTGCAGTTTCTGGCTCCTCTGATCTCTGAAAATGGAGTTTATAGCATTCTCTCCATCCCCAGAGGTTGAGAGGTCTCGTCACCCAACTTCTTATCTAATGTTGCAGTTTCTGGCTCCTCCGACCTCTGAAAATGGAGTTTATAGCATTCTCTCCATCCCCAGAGGTGGAGAGGTCTTGTCGCCCAACACCTTATCTAATGTTGCAGTTTCTGGCTCCTCTGAACTCTAAAAATGGGGTTTATAGCATTCTCTCCATCCCCAGAAGTTGAGAGGTCTCTCCATTCCCAGAGGTTGAGAGGTCTCGTCACCCAACTCCTTCTCTAATGTTGCAGTTTCCGGCTCCTCTGGCCTGTGAAAATGGTGTTTATAGCATTCTCTCCATCCCCAGAGGTTGAGAGGTCTCGTCGTCCAACTCCTTCTCTAATGTTGCAGTTTCCGGCTCCTCTGGCCTGTGAAAATGGTGTTTATAGCATTCTCTCCATCCCCAGAGGTTGAGAGGTCTCGTCGTCCAACTCCTTCTCTAATGTTGCAGTTTCTGGCTCCTTCTCGCTAAGGGAAGAGAATAAAGGGGGAATGAAATGGAAGGAAGGAAGCGAAGAAAGAAATGAAACTGAGGGGAAGGAAGAGAAGAAAGGAAGATAGGAATAAGAGGCAAGGAAGAGAAAAAAGGAAAGAAGGAATAAGGTGAGGATGGTAATAAAGGTGTGAATGAAACAGGGAAGAGAAGAAAGGAAGGAAGGAAAGAGTGGGAAGGAAGAGACAAAAGAGAAAGAGAAAGAAAAGAAGGTAGGCATAAGGGGAGGAAGAGAATAAAGGGGGGGAATGATACAGAGGGAAAGAACAGAAGAAAAAAGGAAGGGCAGCATGAAATGGAAGGAACAGAAGAAAGGAAGGAAAGAGGGAAAGACGAGAAGAATGAAAGGAAGGAATGAAGGAAGGAGCAGAAGAAAGAGAAAGGGAGGATGGTAGGAATAAGGGGAGGAAGAGCATAAAGGGAGGAAGGAAAGAGGAAAAGAAGAGAAGAGAAGAAAGAAAGGAATAAGGGAAGGAAGAGAAGAAATAGAAAGGAAGGAAGGTAGGAATAAGGGGAGGAAGAGAGTGAGTAAAGGGGGAATATAACAGAGAAGGAAGAAGAGAAGAAAGGAAATGAGGAATAAGGGAAGGAAGAGAAGAAAAAGGAATGAAACCAAAGGAGGAGACAAAAGGAAGTGAAAAGGAAAGAACGAAACCAAGAGAAGAAAGAGAAGAAGGAAACCGGGAAGGAAGAGAAGAAAGGAAGTGCAAAGAAAGAAAGGAAGGTAGGAATAAGGGGAAGAAGAGTATAAAAGGGGGAATGAAACAAAGGGATGGAAGAAAAGAAAGGATGGAAGGATAGAGTGGGAAGGAAGAGAAGAAAGAGAAAGGAACGAACATAGGAATAAGGGGAGAAAGAGAATAAAGAGGGGAATGAAACAGAGGGAAGGAACAGAAGAAAAAAGGAAGGGCAGCATGAAGCGGAAGGAACAGAAGAAAGGAAGGAAAGAGGGAAAGACGAGAAGAATGAAAGGAAGGAATGAAGGAAGAGAAGAGAAAGGGAGAATGGTAGGAACAAGGGGAGGAAGAGCATAAAGAGAGGAAGGAAAGAGGGAAAGAAGAGAAGGAAGAAAGAAAGGAATAAGGGAAGGAAGAGAAGAAAGGGAAAGGAAGGAAGGTAGGAATAAGGGGAGGAAGAGAAGAAAGGGGGAATATATATCAGAGAAGAAGGAAGCGAAGAAAAAGGAAGGAAGGGTGGCATGAAACAGGGAAGGAAGAGAAGGGGGAAGAAGAAAGGGGAAGAAGAGAAGAAAGGGGGGAGTGAAACCGGGAAGGAAAAGAAGAAAGAGAAGAAGGAAAGAATGGGAAGGAAGAGAAGAGAGAAAGGAAGGAAGGTGGGAATAAGGGGAGGAAGAGCATAAAGGGGGCAGTGAAACAGGGAAGGAAAAGAAGAATGTGAGGAAGGAAAGAGTGGGAAGGAAGAGAAGAAAGAGAAAGGAAGGAAGGTAGGAATAAGGACGAGAGTATAACAGAGAAGAAGGAAGAGAAGAAAAAGGAAGGAAGGGTGGCATGAGACAGGGAAGGAAGGTAGGAACAAGGGGAAGAAGAGAAGAAAGGGGGGAGTGAAACCGGGAAGGAAAAGAAGAAAGAGAAGAAGGAAAGAATGGGAAGGAAGAGAAGAAAGAGAAAGGAAAAAGATAGGAATAAGGGGAGGAAGAGCATAAAGGGGGGAGTGAAACAGAGAAGGAAAAGAAGAAAGAGAAAGGAAAGAAGTTAGGAATAAGGGGAGAAAGAGAATAAAGAGGGGAATGAAACAAGAGCGAAGAAAAAAGGAAGGGCAGAAGAAAGAGAACGGAAGGAAGGTAGGAATAAGGGGAGGAAGAGCATAAAGGGGGGAGTGAACCAGGGAAGGAAAAGAAGAAAGAGAGGAAGGAAAGAATGGGAAGGAAGGTAGGAATAAGGGGAGGAAG